GCAACATTTGTAACCCAAAGTAGGGCGACATTGGCCACCCAAAGTAGGTGACATTGGCAACCCAAAGGACTCAAGTCCAGCCTGAGAAGATGAGTTTTCATAAGGTTTACTCATGGAGCAGTGACCAGTGTGTCCCCCGTCCACTTCTCCAGAAGAAACATTGTCACTCTCTTTTCTAGGACAAAGTCAGGACCATAGCACCACCTCGTGTCAGAACAGAAGTGACTACAACTCAAATGACCCCAGCAAAGTTCCACATTTTTGTGAGCGCCATTACTCTCATGGGGAGGGGGGACGGTTGCTGACTTGGGCAGACACTGTTACCCCATGGAAGGAGGGCTTATGTGCTGCACTTACCAAGATCAGCTATAGCCATTTTTAAAAACTTCATTGGTGCTGGGCGCCGGTGGCTCACTATTGTAATCCTAGCTACTCAGGAAGCTGAGACCTGAGGATCACAGTTCAAAGCTAGCCTGGGCAGGAAAGGCTATGAGACTTTTTTTTTTTTTTTTTGGGTCCAGTCGTGGGGCCTGAACTCTGGGCCTGGGTGCTGTCCCTCAGCTCTTCAGCTCAAGGCTAGCGCTCTACCACTTGAGCCACAGCGCCACTTCCGGCTTTTTTTTCTTTTTGCTTTTGTGGTGCTGAGGAATCGAACCCAGGGCCTCATGCATGCAAGGCAAGTGCTCTACCACTGAGCCATCTTCCCAGCCCGGCTATGAGACTCTTATCTCCAATTAATCACAGAAAAAGCCAGAAGTGGCAGTGTGGAGAGCACACAGAACAAGTAAATGGTGCTGATTTCAAAATGGAGTCACTAGCTAGGAGACAGAGGACCAATCACAAGACACTCCTGCATCTCAGCTTGAGCTGGCCCAGGAGCACAAGTAACAGGTAGAGCTGCTCATATCTACCTTTGGGGTAGTCTGACTTTTGGAGGCCAATGCTCTGGAGAAAGTAAATACTCCAAAATAAGCCTGGCTCACGTCTGTAATCCTAGCTACTCAGGAGGCTGAGCTATGAGGATCAGGATTCAAAGCCAGTCTGGTCAGACAAATCCAAGAGACTCTTACCTTCAGTTACCCACCAAAAAGCCAAAAGTAGACCTGTGGCTCAAGTGGTAGAGTGACATCCTTAAGTGAAAAAGCTAAGGGGGGGCTAGAAAGGTGGTTCGGTGGTAGAGTGCTTCCCTTGCATGCATGAGGCCCTGGGCTCGATTCCTCAGCACCACATAAGCAGAAAAAAAGCTGGAAATGGCGCTGTGGCTCAAGTGGTAGAGCGCTAGCCTTGAGCTGAAGAGCTGAGGGACAGCGCCCAGATCCAGAGTTCAGGCCCCATGACAAAAGAAAAGCCAAGGGGAAAGGCCTAGGCCTGGAGTTCAAGCCCCACTGGCATGCACATGCACACACAAAATGTAACAAGGGCTTGGTGCTAGGCAATCCAAGGCACAGTGGACTGTGGCAGATGTGGACACACTTGTTAACCTGAGATCCACACTGGACTTAGAACAGAACCCTGGTTTTGAAGGGAAAAGGTGTAATAAGGCCCATTGCTTCTGAAGGGAGGCATATGGGACAGAGCAGACCCGAGTCTGAGCAGACTCCCGCTGGCCTTCTAAATTCTGATCTAGGCAAAAGGAGAAACTCAGGCATAGCATTCCAGGCAGAGCTGCTGAAGCCAATGCCCCTGCAGACAAATCCTCAGGCAGTTCTGATGGAACTCTCCATAGTTCAGAAGGAAACAGCCAAACCCTAGGATCACTGCAAGGACCTGGAGCCCTCTCTCTCACACCTAAACAAGGAGAAGGGTGGCATGTGCCCAGGGAGGCAACTACTATGAGAAGGAATTGCAAACTGCCTTGGTAAAGCCCTAGACAATGAGGGCCCATGGAGGAAGGCTGCTCCCCAGGAAGAAGCTGGGTGTTGTCCATCTCCCATGTTGCTCACAGCTTCGGCTCCTAACCACATCGTATATGTGGATGCACACAACATCCATGCCCCCCACATCTCCATTGGGCAACTCAGAGCAGCAGGTAGTGGCAGCCTGTAGACCCAAGGACCAGGCAGAGAAAGGCAGGCTTCCCACAGTTCCCCACGAAAACAGCTGTGTGGCAGGGCTCACTGCTGTCACCTACAAAGCAGGATGGTCTGAAGCAAAAAATATGACAGTAATGACTCCAGACCTAGAGCCTGGCCTGGCCACAAACCCCCGCCTAGGCCACCATGGCCTAAGCCTCCCTGGCTCGCTGCTTTCCACCTCCAGACCCAGCCACATATTAGCCACCAAGGGCAGAGTGGGAAGGGCCTGGCAAGCCAGGAGGCAGCAGCTGGGCTCAGCCTCTCCACTGGGAGGAGTGGAAGGCCCTTCAAGGTGGGACCGGAGGGGAGAGGGATCAGTTTGTGGCGTAACATCCTTAGGGGCTAAGGGAACCCCCCCCCCGTTTTGGCTTCTGTGTTCAGCAGAAGACCTGGCCAGGATGGGTGAGAGGATGAGCGGCCAGGAGCTGGGGAGCAGGTGGCATGCCCTCGGCCCACTGCACCTGAGCTGCACCCTCCGGAGTTTCATTTGCTCAGCCCCAGCCAACCATGTGCCCTTCCCACAGGTGTCTGTCAGGGGTGGGCAGGCTGTGTCCGGACATGCCACAGTGGTCAGTCAAATGCCATCCTGGACACAAAGCCTGGCAGGCCAAGCTGGACTGATGCCCCTGCCCATCACTAGCTCTGCCAGCTGCTAGGTCACCCAGCATGACCAGAAGGAAAGCAGCAAGAGGGACAGGCTGGCTGCCAGTGGGTGTTCTTCCCAAGTGCTCAGCTGTGTGAGGGGGACAGGCTCCAGCAGCCACCCTAGGCCTCTTCCGCTTCTCTCTGCCACGTGTTACTAAAAGACCCGCAGAGATGCCTCCTGCCACCCGCAGTCCCCTGCAGGTTTCCAGATGGAAGAGGCATTCTTTTAGTGTGTTAAATGTTACATGAAATGTAACAGAATGCGTGGTTCCAGCCACTTGGTGTGCAGCTCAGACATTAAGTACAGCCATTTCTACAACTTTTCATCTTCCCAAGTGGAAGTGCTGCCATTAGACACCAAGTCCCATTCCCCTCCCCCCACTGTCTCCTTCCCATCTGTGGTTTCTGTGCACTCCAGGAGTTTCCTGTAAGCACCTACAGGACTTGGCTGAGCCAGGCTCCTTCCCCTTAGCACGCTGAAGGTGCAGCATGCCGGGGTGGGTGTCACTGTCCTTCCTGCTTAAGGCTGCAGTGGACAGTGTGTGGACGGAGCTTGTGTTGTTTATCCACCATGTGTCTCTGGGGTCCACCTTTGGAGTACTGCGTTTGCAAACAATCTTTTCCATATCTACCCCGGAATGAGACTGCTGAGTCTCATCAAAGCTAGGCCTAGTGTTTTTATGAACTGCCCTACTAACACAGCTGTACCAGGAAACCAGTGCCAGCCAGGGAAGTAGGGGCACTGCCTGTCCTCAAGACTCCATCCCTCTCCAGCCCACACAGGGCCCACAGTCCCTTGCTGCTGTCCACCCTCCTCCCCCATCCCATCCCATCCCATCCTGCACTCTGCCCTCCCTGCCCTCTGGTACCCCTTCAGCCACCCAAGCAACTCTGCACCTCCCCTGACGCCCCATGACTCCCGATGCCAGTGAGGCACATGTGCACAACCAAGGAGAGCAGCCTCCACAGACAGTGCAATACTACTGCCAGGCAGGCTCAGGGGAGGCCTGCAGGCAGGTGCCCAGGACAGGTGCAATGAGCACCTGGGCTGTAGGTGTGCTTAAAGCCAGCTTGGGGCACAGGTATGTTCCTTTCCATGGTCACAGGACAAGTGCAAGGCAAATCAACCCGCATTATTACTGGTCCCTGAGCTCAACTCCCAGCTCAAGTCTACATTCAGAATGATGAATCCCAGAGTGAGCCAGCCATTTCAGTCAACCTAAGATGCAACCTAGGCCGTAAACACCTGCCTGACGATGTATCTGCTAAGATGCTCCACCTGGCCGTATGCCCAGGTACCAGTCAAGTGCACATGCAGCACGTGTGGCAGTGGCAGAGAATCACCCTGCAAGCCCAGTGCAGCCACCACCAGGGGCGCAGCACCAGTGGGGCAAATGCTGACTCACCACTGTGGCTCCTCCCAGGTTACCAGAGGTCAGGATTGGGGAGGGGTTGGTGTCCTACCACCTAGGAGCAGCTGGGGAAAAGCCACACTGGAAGGCCCAGCCAATGTGAGCAGGAAATCCATTCTCCCCAGAGATCCCGTTTCCAAGGCCAGCTCATGCATACTTCTCAAGGCAAGCCACCACCCTCGTGGGCACCAACTTAGCTACTTGGTGGGCACAAATCTGGCCAGGGAAAAGCACACACCTGCAGCACCACGGGCATCCCTGAGCACAGGAATGGCTCCCGCACTCCCCAAAACTGCTGTCTTAGAATTCCTCTACTATCTACTACAGCTCTAATTCGCTGAGAACATTCTCTTCCACCTTAAAGTCCACCTTGTCTGAGAAAGAGCCCAGGCCTGAGGCGGGCAGCAAGGTAGAGAATAGCTGGTTTCAGACCATTGGATAGAAATATGTTTAGAAAATATCTGACTTGGCTAAAACAGGTTCAGAGCTAGGTTCCAGCCTGGTACCCACATTCTCAGCCCTGGCTGAAGTCCTAGAGCTTGGCGCTTTAAAAAGTAATTATGAACAGAGTTCACAGAACAGAAAACTTGTCTTATCACTTGGGAAAACAGGTGATACTTGAGAAGGCGGGAGAAGGAAAGGCGGCCAGAGCCGCAGGATGGCCGCGGTGCCCACTCTGCTAGCCGGGAACTGGGGAACAGAGACCTCATTCCCACGGTATCACAGTCCCCAAAACCCATTTGAGACCTACCCACAACCGACGTGCACAAGATGGCCACGTGCTGAAGTGGCCCCAGGCAGCCTGGAGAACACCCACGTTGGAAGACATAGGCCATCCTTGCTGGCACTCAGTCACGTGAAGACAGGAAATAGGAAAAGGGTTTATTTATTAAAGAAGTCATCTGTGAATCACTCTGGTTAAATTAGCACACTTGACATAACACTTTGGATTGGAACATGCCTTCTTTCAAATATCAGGTAGGCTCCACAAGCAAACACCTAAGGGTCAATTCAAGTAGCATTTCAAGAGCCACCAGAGCACTGGGAAGGAGCGGTCGCCCATCCTCCCAGTGCAACAGCTACTTTCTGTAAACACGACACAAGCCAGGATGCGGCCTTACCACCGGCGCAGAAGTTGGTGAGCATGGGGTCAGGGAGGAAGAGCCACAGCTCTGTGATCCAGGCGCAGGTGCTAAGCGGCGTCTACACACGGTCCCCTCTGGCCCTCTGCCCCTTCCAGGGGGGCTGCTGAGGCTGCACAGCCAGGAGCCCCGGTGGGCACGCCTACGTGCGGTTTAGCGTCTGGAAGATTCTGGAGATCTGCAGCATGACTGGGCCTGTCTCTGGGTCATTCATCCACTGTGTGCTGTTAAGTGGGTTCTCCAACATGTCTTCAAATGCTGTGGGGAGGACAGTGAAGCTGAGCACCCGCATCCCAGGACCTTCCCCTGAAAGGCCTCACAGTACAAGGAACTACTGCTGAGGGAGCTTTCAGCCAGAACAAGCAGCACTCTCTGCCAAAGCAGAGGGTGGGCTCCACCTGACAGGGGGGCGGGCTCCCTGGGGGCTCACCAAACCTCAACTCTGCAAAGCCATGTGGCAGCCGAAGCAGGACTGGAAACACCCACCTCACTGGGCGCTGCTGGCTTACTCCTATAATCCCAGCTACCCAGGAGGCTGAGATCCAAGTTTCACAACTCAGAGCCAGCCTGGGCAGGAAAATCCTTGCTAATTAACCACCAAAAAGCTGAAAGTGGAGCTGTGGCAGAAAAACACTAGCCTTAAGCTTTTAAAAAACTAAGGACCAGCATCCAGGCCCTGAGTTCAAGTGCAGTACCAGCATAAAATAAAAATAAGTAAGTAACAAAGAAACAACTTTCTGTATAAAAAATGAGTAGCAAGCCCGTCCAGCCATGGCCCCACTCTTGACAAGAGCTCTGCCTAGGACCAGGTAGCGGTGCCAGTCATCAGAGGCATCTCTCTTTGAGACTCCAATGCCTGCAGGCCTAGCCTTGGTATGCAGCCTGCAGAAAACCCCATCCATGGGCAGTGAGGGGTGGGATGAGAAGGCTGAGCAGCCACTGTCAGACAGGAAGAGAGAACCAGCCATGGCACAGACACAGGCCTGATGCTTTACAGCCTATCAGAGAAACTGCTGAAAATGATTCTGTATAAGGCAGAACAAGAGACAGATTGTTTGGGGGGCTATGTAATGTGGCAAAATTCTACAGGAAAGCAAAGGAATGATAGGCCTTTAGGACAGCTGCCACTCTGTGCCTGATGGGGCCAGGGCATGCAGTGGAGGGATGCTCAGAGGGACCCCAACAGTTGTCTTCTATGTTCACCCTCGGACTCCACATCCACAGAGCCAACCGAGGACTGAAAATCTCAGGAAAGACCAGCTATGGTGATGCATGCCTGTGCCCAGAGGCTGAAGTAGGAGGGTTTCAAGTTTGAGCCACACGCCTATAATCCTACTGCTTAGGAGGCTGAGATGTGAGGATCACAGTTTGAAGCCATCCTGGGCAGTAAAGTCCATGAGATTCTTTTTTTTTTGTTTTGGCGGTTGTGGGGCTTGAACTCTGGGCCTGGGCACTGTCCCTCAGCTCTTCAGCTCAAGGCGAGCGCTCTACCACTTGAGCTACAGCGCCACTTCCAGTTTTCTAGTGGTTTATTGGAGATAGGAGTCTCACGGTCTCTCCTGCCCGGGCTGGCTTTGAACCTCAATCCTCAGATCTCAGCCTCCTGAGTAGCTAGGATTACAGGCGTGAGCCACAGGGGCATCCATGAGATTCTTATCTCCAGTTAACCACCAAAATTAACCACCAAAAAGCTGGAGGGAGCTGTGACTCAACTAGTAGAGTTCTAGCCTTGAGCAAAAAAGCTCAGAGCTGTTGCCAGACCCTGAGTTCAAATCCCAGAACTAAAAAAAAAAAAAAAAAAAAAAAAAGGTTGAGCTAGGCTTGGCTAACATAACAAAGGCATCTACAAAATAAGACAAAATAGGTCAAGAGAGAGAATATGTATCTATAGCTAGGCAGCACACATGGGGGAAGCACTAGACACTATGTTGGAAATGAACTATACAACTTGGGGGGGGAGAGGGGGAAAACTGGGAGAAAATGAGGGAGGTACCCCCTTCTGTTCCAAAAGAAATGTACTCCTTACCAGACTTATGTAACTATAACCCCTCTGTACACCACCTTTACAATAAAAATTCTAAAAACCACACCCACACACACATAGACTTCTTTCTTGTCATCAGTCCCTAACTAATACCAAATAACAACTATTTATATGGCATTTAACATTATACTGGGGATCCTAAGTAACCCAGAGATCCCTGAAAGCACACGGGAGGATGAAGCTGGGCCATAGGCACAAACTTCGCTATTTTTATAAGAAACTTGAGCATCTGGATTCTGGTACCCACAGAGCCGCCTGAAACCAAACCCCATGGATACTGAGGGATGATTACACTGTTTTTTTAAGCTGATGATACATGCATGGCTATTAGTTTTTAATTGTTCTTTTAGTTATAAACATTAAATATTTTTGTACATTACTATATATTATAATTAACAATTATCAAGAAAGTCCCTTATGGGCTGGGAATGTGGCTCAGTGGTAGAACGCTTGCCTAGCATGCATAAAGCCCTGGGTTCAATTCTTCAGTACCACATACACAAAAAAAGCCAAAAGTGGCATTGTGGCTCAAGTGATAGAATGCTAGCCTTGAGCAAAAAGAAGCTCAGGGACAATGCCTAGATGGAGTTCAAGGCTCAGGACTGGCAAAAAAAAAAAAAAAAAGGTGCTTACATATAATAAGTGAAAGTCAAAAACACTCCCTCTCCTCATGCGTCACTGGTTCCCTCGGGAGCCTATCCCACCAGGGGTGCGGCCTGACTCCCAGACCTTCAGTGGCTTAGGGTCCCTGAGGGAGCCCGCCCACCCACACAGACATGGCTCAGTGGCATCTGGGCTATGGCAGGAGCCTTCCACATGTGCTTGGCCCAGCTGGCTTGTGCAGGGATATCCGTGAGAGCCCCTCCCCCTCCGCTCCGACCCAGCACCAGGGCCTGGCTCAGCGGCCTCCGGGCTGTGTCTCCCACACTGACTGGGGCAGCACAGCACACATACCTAGCAGGGTCTTGGGGTTGGTCAGTCCCAGCTGCACCACCGGATTGTCCAGGATGGCCTGGAACAATGGGCTGTTGGGGTCGATGCCCTGGTCAAGCTCCTCAGGGGACGGCTTCCGGTCCCCCAGCAGCCACTCACACTGCAAGCCCAAGAACAGGAGAGTGGCCATGAGCCCCAAGGCGCCCCGCCCCTTCTGAGGCTTGCGCGCAGAAAGCCCGACTGGCATCAGCAACCCCAGCTGCACCGGGCGCCATGTGCGCCGGGCAGGAAGAAGTAAGTACTGTGTGCTGACCTGGGCAGTTAATTAGTCACTGCTACGTCCCTGGTCACAAGTCCAACAGGGCCCCAACTCCCAGGTTGGTAGGAAACCCTCACTGCCTGAATTCCTCCAAAGCCAATGAGCCTGGAAAGCCTAGACACAACTCTTCATCTCTCTCACCTGAGCCTCAACTCCATCCACATGTGGAGGAGTCACAGCTCCCCCCGCTCCCAACCCCCACAGCCTTCCAGGGGCAGAGCGCCTCTCAGCAGCAGGCATGTGCTCCTAGCATAGCACTCAAGATGAAGCCTGTTGAGTAAATGCACTGACTACGCATTCACGCGTAGGACACTGGTTTGCGATGGTATTTTCCCAGTGGGCAGTCTTTGAAGCACCTGCTGCAGCGACGCCCTTCACAACAGTACCACCGACAGCACATGGAGCCCCACAGACGATCACAGGCCACGTGTGCAGGTGAGGCAGACACCTGGTACTCACAGCAGCATTCTGCTGGTTATTGTTCACTCGGAGGGCGTCTATCACTTCCTTCTCATCGAAGCCCATCTCCATCAGGGAAATGACAGCCTGGAAGGGAACCAGATATCCGGTTAACACCACAGCACAGGACACAGCAGCCCACAGGGAGCTGCTTTAGTACAGCACCATGGCAGATGTGTGGAGGTCCTGGAGAATTTTCCACCTCGAGGTTTTCTCATTACAGCACAGCAGGTTCCAAGCCCTTGAGTCCTCCTGGCACAGGGCCGGGGTGCTGCCAAGGAAGCCCTGTTGGAGGGCAGGAGCAGGAACCTCAAGCCACCTGGCAGCACTCTCAGGACACAGCTGACCAGCCAACCTGAGACGATCCAGGTTTATCCCCATGAGCTGAGGTGGCCACACCGTCCTCAACAGCCATGTGTGAACTCACCCCCAAAGCATTCCAAACAGGAAAGACAGCCAAGAGACTGGAAGAAAATCTTTGCCAGCAATACATCTGACAGAAGCCAATACCCAAAATATACAACCCCCCAAAAACTAACAAATCAGTAAATAGGCAAAAGAGCTAAAAAGAGACTTCTCAAAAGAAGAACGGTAATAAGACACAAGGAAATGCTCAACATCCCTGGCCATAAGAAAATGCAAATCAAAACGACTTTGAGATTCCAACTCACCCCAGTTAAATTAGACATCAAGATTTTGAACAACAAATGTTGACAAGGATGTGGGGGGAAAAGGAACCCTACTGCACTGTCGGTAGGAATATAAACTACTGTAACTACTCTGCAGGGAGGTTTCAAGATTACTCAAAAAACAAAACACAGAACTTCCTTATGAGGAGCCATTCCACACGTGGCATCTAACCCAGAGCGCCACAAGCCAGGACACTAAGGACACTTGCACATCATGCTCACTCATGCTTACTGCTGCTCTATTCACAAGTGCCAAGTTATGGAGACAGCCCAGATGCCCTTCAATAGATATCAATGAAATGTGGTATATGTACAATGGAATTTTACTCATTACTAGAAAGAATAAGATCATGTCATTTGCAGGAAAATGGATGGACTTAGAACAAATCATGTTACATAAGGTAAGCCAAGCCCATATGCGAAAGCCAGATCTAAAACAGCAACTGGACATGATAACCTATAAAGGACTCTAGGCATTCACATACAAACAGTCAGACTAAAGGTTACCCTTAGAAGAGGAACCCAAAGATGTAACTCCTCTGAACATTTGAAATACTATTCATGGAAATGAGTTCCAGGAAATGGAAACATGGGGTTTTTGGTGGTGGTGGTGGTATTTGTTTTTGTCTTTCTAGTGGGGGCAAAGGAGGGACGCAGAAAAGGAGAGAAGGGTGAACAAATGCAATCATGTTATTCAGTAGACACTGGAAAATGAGCTATTTAACTTGTGGATAGCAATGGCAGGGGAGGGGAAGATTAGGGGAAAGCAAAGTGGTGACATTGTCCAAAAAAGAAATGTACTCATTACCTGACTTACAAAATGGTGACTCCTCTAAATAATACCTTGGTGTGTGTGTGTGTGTGTATATATATATATATATATATATATATATATATATATA